CTGTTAATAGTCCTTTCGTTAAAGGATCTTGTGAACTCTTTAATATATAACATGTTTTTTTAGTTACTGTTCATGCAGGAAAAGAACTTACAACCAATTGGACATTTGAAATTGTCAAATTGTATTGCAAATACAACGTTTGGAAACCACAACACTTTTGGAACCTACAACAGTTTTGGATATACAGCAGTATATATTTACATAGTAATTTTCAATATTAAATAAGAAACATATATAAAAACTAAAAAACTGTTTACATGTGTTAAGGTTTGTTTTAAAATAAAGCATTATATTGTGCCAATTATAGTTCAATATAGATGGTTCAATTTAAATAATTGTTTCATTTTGGTCAATGTTGGTAACCTCTTCTTACAGCAAACAGAGTCTTCAAAAAGCCGGTTGTTGTTTTAATGTGATTCTGTTAACATAGTAATGTTAATGCTGGCTGTTCAGATGCTTAAATAAAGAGGTGTTTGTAAACAATTTTCTCTTAAGACTACAAAAAAATGCTAGGAAAATACATTTTGTGTTGAATGCCAGCTGTGAACGTTAACAGTTGAGCTGATGATTGCAACACTTAACATGTTAACAGCTTAACAGCAGCTGTTATAGCTTCAAACATGTTCTATATGCGCTGTAAGTAAAAATACGTAATAGACATTCACGAGCTTTAATGTTGTTTTACGAGTTTTTAATAAAATTCAATTCGTAACTTTGAACAGCTGACCAAGTTAACATTAGTTCACATAAATGTGTGTGATTGTTAACATTATGAACATGGATACGTATGTATATAGCCAGTATGTTATGTTAGTTACTTTATATACGTATATCATGCTGACATATGTCACATACATATATATAATTTTTTTTAATTAGTTAATTGACTTAAATAAACTTAAAAAATATTTTAACAGTCATGTCTATTTCTCCCTTCAGTTCCTTAAGTTCCTTAGCATAGGCGTGTTTCATTATATTGCAAAATTATTATAAAAATTCTCCCTACATTCTTTTAAAATAGATAACAATTGTTTTTTTCAGGTTCTCTTCAGATGAAACAGTGGCGTCGTATGAAGAACATGGGAGAGACGTCGTTGAGAATGTACTGATCCAGCTCGGAATGTCTTGTTAAGAAAAAATAAATTAGCGGTACTTCTACCACAATAGAAAAAATATTTTTCAAAACAAAGACGGATACAAGTACAGTATTAATTAAATTAAAGAAACAAAAAATGTGCAACTGATATATTATGAAGATTAAAGAAACATAAGAACTACTTCATTTACAATGTCTTCGCATTATTTCATAGTAAAATGGACGCCTACAAATTAGAACCCTTAGAAATTAGATAGGTTTAGAACTTAAAATGACCAATAATTATAACATCCAGAATGTAATATAATAATAAATGTATGTATGTAATGTGTAATCTATATACATATAATACAATAAAATATCTTAGAATCCCCAAGAATTAAAATTTGCATAGAATGCTCTGAAAATAGAACTTGAGCTTTTGATCTGAAAATGGAAAATCACCATACTCATATCATCTTCTGCGACTGCCAAAAACATTAAAAATTTAATGCCAATATTATTATAAAAATTAATCTAAAATGTCACGGATTACTATATATACTATAATCAAAACCAGCGGCTTACGCAGGTAGTCGGTGGTAATAAGAGATAGAACTCACTTTTTGACACTATAATACATAATTCAAAATTTTAGTTACTTTAAAAACACTACCAAAAAAATATTTTTCCTAACACGAATATATCTTCTCCTTGTCATAACCCTGGCTTAATCATTATGCAAAATGAAGTATTATTGTAAATGTAAAAAAATTATATCAGAAATCGACAGCCCCAATGTGGGACATTAATCCACCAAAACCATCTCTTAGGAATAAATGAAGATGATTTTCTACGCAATGCAGAGACTTTATTCACGTGATTAAGAGGGCGGGGGAAGATATGGTCGAGAGGTTTAATAACTAGAAATCTAAGTTTATCTAAATCAGAAAGCATGAACGTGGTACAGGTGAACGGGGAGTATATAGAAGGAGTGTGGTTATTGCACAAGCGCGGAGAAAACTCTGTGACCAGGATCACAAGAGTTTCGATAATAGATCGGGATAATTGAGCCATTGGAATGCCTCTCATCGAAGTATAGCGTGAAGTATTTGGGGACCTTTAAGCACATGATCGGGGGAAGCGTTACCCAACTGGATGAATTAATCTTATTAACTAATTTTATCACTCTACATAATCAGAGGAAGTATTTTCGATCTCGTATAAGTAAAGAAACACATAGCATAATATATTGGGCCCACAATCAGCAAAGAAAATATAAGAACTTTTGTAGTTACAATAGTAAGGCCTATGAAAAACAACACTAGAGAGAAAAAGAGGCAAAATGCAGTTTTGTTGTAGTGATAATTTGCATATACCTGTGATCTATCATAAACTGGAAAAATAACGTTAACCAGGTAATATATCGGATGGTTGTCTTCAAAACAAAAATTAAATACAGTATATATATTATATATATAATAGATATGTAATAGATATGTAATAGATATGTTAAACACCTGAAGAGTCAATATTTTGATAGACAAATAAAAGAATAATATAAAAATATAACTCATTCCACTGATGAAGCACCACTGGGAGTATTCGAGGGAAAAGTTCTTCGTAAGATTATTCGTTCTCTACAAGTTGGCAACGGCTACCGTGTCTAAATGAACCACGAGGTAAAGGCTTTAGATTTTATCCAGTTTCTTACCATTTAACAAGTAAAAAAATGTTTCTAGTAAACTAGAAGACACCACATTCGTATTGAGAAAAATATAATGATTGTAATTATCCTATTCATGAGGTCGTATTATCGTAGCAAAGAATTATCCGTCTGTAGCGTTTGGTTAAGTTGGATATGAATAATCTATTTTTAAACTTCTTTTTGTAAGCTATAAGTTATAATAAGTTATAATAAATGGAAATTGTCTGATAGATAACAATACTCGTCTAATAGCCTCTAAGGCTTCACACTTTCGTCGTAACTTATGAGATGAAAAAGCTGTATCAATGTTCTTCTCTTACGATCTTTACATTATAAAATCTGTAAATGCTTTAGACAGATAATCTACACAGTCTTACTTAAACTCTTTTCGAAAATTGGCGTAAATTCATTTAAAATAAAAATGAATTGTTCAATGAGGAAATTAAATCTTTATCCAAATGATATCCTATTGGGTCAGCTAATGGCGTAAATGTGTTCATGTCGATTGCATGTAGTATATTTAACATAATAATAATACCTGAATAATACCTGAAATGTGACTGTTAAACTTATTGGTTGGATTCAGATTCATAAATATAATTTTTGGATTTAAAAATGCACGTAATCCCGGCTGTTCTTATTTCTTACTCTTTTCATACTTTCATCTAACTTGATCTCTCTGTCATTTATGAAAATATATACTTAAGATTTCGATGAAATTTTATTTTACTACATTGAAATATTCGTTCGAATATCATTTACAGAATAGCTCACGGTATTGTATCATTTTAAATCAACTTTTCAGTATATTGTTAACTGTAGTTTGGCCATAGGTCAATATAGGTTAGGTTGTATCGGCGACCTAAAGGGTAGTTCATCCACAAGTTGACAGTCAAAATGTAAATGAGAGTAAATAATGCTTACATTAACATGATCTCTTGCGTACCTCACAAAAGAAGTTTATTCTCATGTTTCGGAAAAACTTCTCGCACAAGTAAGACAAAACAGGACATATTGTATAGCTTATGGAATATGGTAAGCTATACGCTGAAACCACATATATTCCCAATCCATTACTCAATTCAAGCAAAACAGAATTGGTCACATTGTGGACTTTAGCGACCCAAAATGACGGTTTTTTTACGAGCATATCACAAATTCTAACCAAATTTCATTATTTGCTGCGATTTGTGGTGACTGAAATTAGTTTTTAAGCAATTACTTGTGGATTTGCAACACATCCGATGCTACAATTTTGATTTTTTATATATCCACCAAAAAAAAATGAGTTTTATTACTACAGAAAATCTGATATGAAAAAATATCACCACTCTTATAGGAAGTGTCGCGTTCAAATAGTTGAAATTTAGGCGATAGTCTATGAATTTATTGATATGAATTGTTTGTTTTTAATTAAAAATCTTATAGTCAAATGATTTGATGATTTGAGACTACAATTCTAAAGGTGTATTTTATATTAAAACTTAAGAAATTTAAACATGTTCTGCGGTTGTTAAACATTCCACATTGTAAAATGGTAAGCCTTAGACTAATCATATGATGCCTTGGATGATTGCTCTTTTTATTCATTATTTTGTGTGACGCATAGACAGAGTACTACTATATCTGGAAAAATAAATGTATAACCATTTGCATTTACAAAAATTTTTTAAGGGACTTGACTATAACTAAATATTGCAACAGTACAGCAAGTAGGAATATCGGGTTTTTTTTACATATGTCAGTGCAATGATTCACGTAGGATATTTTAGTAGGTATGACAATGTCTATTTCGTATAACCCAACAATTTTGAAGTGAGTTTGGTCTTTTGGGATTGTTGTGATATGGATTTGATTGTAATACTTTTCAATGTCTGCACTATACTGTTCAAATCTATGTCGGTATTAATTTTGTAAAATTGTGAAAGGAATCTTTATAGGTCGCAGATATATTCCCATAAATAAAATAAATATCATATATAATCTATATTAGTTAAAGCATTTTTCCCCATAGGCTTTAATATAGCACTATAGAGAAATCACCACGCATATCCATATATTTAGCCTTAGAACTATGAGAGAATGTGTCTATGGATACAAGTTCGTCATTGTTTTTGTTATGCTTTGTTTTTTCTAATTTATTCTTCCACAATATCGGATATGCTCTGCACTCTATGTTAGTGCAAATAACGTGCGTGCCCTCAGTCTCATATCGAACGGTCATCGATAAACTTCTAAAGAAAGTAGGGAGCTCTTCTCTCAAAAAAAAATATTTATTTTTTTTTTGTGCTTCGTCGTGCGCGTCGTGTTTAAATTATTTTTCGCCTAAAAATATAAATTTTCCGCAAACTGGAAAAATGTTTCAAGAATTCTAAATTCTTTAAATTAAATGCAAATAATCTGTGCAAAATTGAGTAAAAATATATAAAAATGCTATATAATTGGTGAAGAAAACGCGAACATTGAAAAATCTTAGCAAAGACGTACCGAATCTAAAATATGATCGCGTTCATTGCTTTTTTCAATTTCTGAAATCTCAAAGAATATCGGAAACTTCGTAAAAAATGAATGTTTTTGTTAATGTTATCACAGCTATGGACGGCTTTTGTTTGTTTTGATACTCGTATATCTTTTTGGCCCGCTCTTTCCACTTTATTAATGGAACGCCGCAGCTGCTGATTCTGCTTTCAACTGACGAAATCAATGAAATATTCACGCACGTGTTCTATTTATTGCACATTATATATACAATTCACCTTGAGCTAACCTCATCCCATTTCCCCACCTTTCTATCTGTTATTTAACTCAGAACTGCAAAATGCAAATTCCTCAGAAAAGTTTGCTCAGAGTAATTTTCGTGCTGTCAGCAATTGTCACAGTAACAGGTGAGCATTCAGAAATATCATTAATTCTATATATACATATATATTTATTATATATACCTATATTCTTATCTATATATGTGGGTATACATTGAACAAATTTGCATTGGAACGAGATGAAATTCTCTTTTGTTTGTTGCATTTCGAATGTTATTGCATGATTTTCTATATATGATTCTCCTTTCTTCATTTTTCCGATTTGTTTTCTGAATCGGAATTTGTTTTTTATTTGATCAATAATTTCATTTTATACCCTTCATACTTAGTTTAGCAACATATATGTATATCAGTAGCGCACAATAGAGTGTCAGTGTCGCAATGCATAAAGGCCTTAGCCTAACCCCATAAACCATACCCTTCATATGGTACTTAGTTCACCATCATATATGTCATGCAATGAAAAAGGCTTACCGATTATTTTAAAATCTATGGGTAAATAATTGAAGATGATAGAAATCTGCTTTGCAATGGTGATCTGTCTCTCTGCCTGTACGTCTACCAATCTGCATAATATCTATGGGTTTCTCAATATATATTGTGATTATTATTTATTGGGTCTTTAACATTTATCACAATTATTAAAATCGGATGACTTTATACTATACAATTAGCTGCTAGTTAAACTGAACAATCAAAACTAATCTTTATACATTACTTAAAAAGTAAAGTTCCGCAGCTGTAGTTTCTCAACATATAGTAGTGTTAATTAAAACGGGTCTTGAACATTTATTGGAATTATTTAAATCGGAGAGCTCAATCCTGCAATTAGCTGCCAGTTAAACTGAACAATCGAAACTAATCTTAATTCATTACTTAATACTCTTCAGCAGTAGATTCTGATAGTGTTTATTGGAAAAGTGTAACATTTATTAGAATTATAAACAATTGGACATTTGGTACAATTGGAGCGAATATTTCTTAATTACTTATCAAAGAAAATAATGTAAGTTAAACTTTCGTATCTTGAATCTTATCGTCATAATGAAACTGGTATGAGAAGGTCTGTCACTGTCACTTTTTGGTGACAGTTATTAGACATTTAAAAAATAGTTACAATGCTGCAGGCTGACATAAAGCCGCGCTAACTACCATAACAATAGACGATAAATAATCTCCTAGATTTCTACACTTCAACCGCACAGTAACCGACACGATCACCAGAAGCAAACGCCGTTGACTCTTACTATTCTAAGTGTAGAGCATTCGCAGGCCTAGATTACCACTAAAAAATATCTGGGTGTCAATAAACTGCGTATGCAGAAAAATTGCAATTCAATTCATTTCATTTTCATCCATATTTATGGTATTTACCGCTTTCAAACCATCATCCGCAGTTGATACAACATGTAAATTCTGGTATGAACCTCAATTTCTTCCATTAATGTTGCTTTATGGCTTCAGATTTGTAAACAAACAGAGACATATTGGTCCGTATGTTATGAATATATTGGCTGATTGTTGATATTTATAGTGATTGATTACAATTCTATAAGAAATGATTATGTACCTATGTAATAGTACACAATTGAAATATAAAATCTCTTAATTCTTCTTCCACAATTCTGGAAGTTTTTGATGATTTTTTCAAGTGAACACTTCAATAAAATGGAATTATATATTTAATAAATAATATCGTGATAACATGTTACACAATGGAAAAATGTTGCGTAAATACTCGATGAGAATTGATCTAGATAGCGGTTCATGATATAGTGTTGAAGGAAATCTAGCACTAGGATGAATACTGTGCTAGATTTCCGCAGCCCTATTTTCAAAGTTGAAATTACCTCTTTGAAAAATTGGAAAATTTGCTAAAATCGTTGAAATTCATACATCAATCATTCAATGAAAGTTGGTTTGGATCAAATGGTAGCATTGTTGTATTTCACTCGATGAACCCAACATTAAAGTCAGCGAAATTCGATTTTGATTGATTAACAAGCCTTTTGTGTTTTTTTTTAATAATAATTAAGAAATCTCTGTCAACTGTAACTATATGTTTCTATAGTTTTATCCAATTGGCTAACCCTAACATTCCTTCTCCTCTGGACATTCCTGGTGACACTTCTAAATCCAGATGTGCAAATTATCAATGGATGATGCTGACATAATGACAAATCAATAGCTCAGGTAGTATTTCAGTGTACTCCAAAAATAATTACTCAAAATGTTTTTAATACCAAGATGTCGGAAAACTATTTCACAGTTGTTAGGAGGTTTCGAACCAAGTTGGTATTTGTTATTTTCTTACCAAGGTGTCGAGATACTCTTGTTTCTCTCTTTACTATATCCTAGTTATTTTTACTTTCTCAAACCATACACATAATTCATTTCTCGATTTTTTTCTCACATTATTTTACTCTATAAAAGTGTCACTACTTACTTAAAGTTTACTTACCTACTTACTTACTTCACAACCCATTACCAAGTTTCGGCCTGACACAGCATATCTCTCAGCCACTTCTGCTGCGGCATTCTCCAGTTTCATACATTAAGTTCGGTTAATGCTCACTTAACATGATCACTCCGCCTGAAAAATACTTCAATGATCAGAAAGAAAAAAATCTGCAGTAAGTAGATTTACTTAGTTCTTTCAAGAAAACTCCACTGTCTACACCACTACTTGTTTTAGATCCGGCGGTAAAAATCCTTACACACTCCCCTAAAGAAGATCGTCGCGACAATCATACGTCTCTATAAGGAAACTCAACACTTAATTTCCTTTCGAAATAATTGAGAATGGGAGGAATGTAAGCAGTGTTATTTGAAGTAAAAGATTTAGAAAAGATTTAGAATGGAGCCGTGGTCTTAGTCTCTAGCTTTCCATTGTGAAGTAGCTTAGAGGTTAAGAGCAGATGATTTCCCAATAATTCCTTTATAAAATCAAGTGGCATCAAGTGAAATATTGGTATAACGCAATGGATGATGTGATACATAGGGCACCACTGATGCAGAGTTCAGCTTTAAGCTGAAATCTGTTGAGTACCGTGCAGTTGGAAGACTTGTCTACGACCGTCCATTATACGGTCGATATAATGATATCACAGAACAATATAGATGTTATGACGGCCGCATAATGCATTGAATTATGCGTGGTTGTAGTTGCCACGTTTCACCAATGAGTTTTTGACATAGAAGCAGCGCAATGTTTGCTGTCCTAGGGCACTAGAAGTGTTTCCATCGGAGATAAGGTCTACAGTAGTCGTCGCCAACTTGTAGGGAACCAAAGTTCTTACGAAGAATTTCTATCTCGATAACTCCCAGTGCTGCTTCATCAATAAACTATTTATAGTTTATTTATTTATTACATATACATTTTGTTTAAATAAGTTTGGAGTATATTTAAGCGAACATATCTGTGTGTTGCAACTGTAACCAAATTACCAATCAAGTATATAGGTACAAATCAAAACTGTTTTCACAAAGATCGTTTGATATGATATGAGATTTATATTAGATTTTAGATTTCTTATTTCACACCAAGCTACATTTTTTGATTCCGCCATTTAACTTACTTATATTTTATTTTTTGTTAAACACAGATCTGCCATTAATCTAACAGTTTGGAGAAATTATTTTATTTTTTATATCGGATATATAATTCCCTGACATATTTCATTAAATTGTTGCAGTAATAATTTTTGAAACTTGTGTTAAAAAGACACCTTCTGACTAGGATACATAATTTATGGTAGTACTTCTATTTCTCTAGAAGTACTAGTACCATTTCTAACAATTTCAACCGATATTTGGATTTGTAACTACAGTTTCATATATATAAAATGAGAATATTGTGTATTTAGGCAACAACAATTTTTTAATCATTGCTTATTACTCCTAATCCAAATTTGTTTTTAAAATATCTTTATAAAATACCATATTACTATGTTCCCATTTAAAAAATTTCCTAATTATTTCGATATGGTTTCAGATTGTTGTTCAAGCCGAATTCTACTCTTAAAGGAACATACTCTTCAAGTTATCCATCAACAAAAGTTTCATAATCAAGGTCATCATGAGGAACAACAGAAACAACAACTCACCAATCAAAAAATTCCTGAACAACACGTCGATATTGGTATTAAGGTAGATTTCAATATATTGTTTTCAACTGAAAGCACTCCCACAACAATAAATTCCGACGAGAGTAACAACAGTACGAACAGTGAGGAAGAAATTTCAAATGATTTTAAAAGCACTGATACGTTATCCTCCACTACACCTTACTCCGAAGACGATAAAACAATAATACCAGAGACGTCGATATCATCTCAACCAATAGAAACGTTGAAAACGTTAAAGACTACAACGATGATACCAGAGACGTCGATACCATCAGAGACAGAGACAGAGACAACACTGAAAACAACAACAACAGATGTTGTATTTAATTTTGATTCAGTCACAACATCAACAGAAATTTCTGATAGTTTCACGATGAATCCAATAACCCACAATAGCAACAATAGTAGTGATAGCAACAATACAACCACTTTACATGGATTTTTAGTCGCTGATAACAGCTTTCAATTGAATTCGTCCATTGAAATCAACATCTTATTAAATAAATGCGATAGAGAGTATAGTTTGTATTTTTGCTTTAATAAAGGTCGTTGTTTTCTTTACCCGATTGGAAATGATACGATATACTCATGCGTATGTGCTGAAGGTTATGAGGGGGAACGTTGTGAATCGAAAAGTATTAATGGTAAGTATGCATATCATCTAATCAAATCAATTATATCACAATTGACATTTCTTCTCCATAGGTTCCTATGTACTGGCAAAACCACAAGATATACCAAGACAAAATATTCTCAGCGCTCGCATCATATTTTCATTTCCAATGCTTATATTTTTGTCCAGCATTTACATTTTTTTCGCCGCGAATATTGTCTTCAAATGCCCACAAAAAAATCAAGCTGCCGGCATGCTTGGGGGCTGAAGAACCGTCCGAGACTCAGCTTAAACGTATATTCATAAAAGCTTCGATTTCAAAAAATAAATGCCAAGCATTCGTAAAAAAATAATTCGGAATATCCTCACCAGCACAAAAACTTCGCAGTCGATTTGTAAAGAACTGTGCTGAATCGTTTTGGGGAAAATTTATTTTCTCACTTGCTCCTATGCAAATAATGTAGTTGTTACTTCCCCATTTTTGTTATATATTATTTATAAATATATATATAAGTAGGACTCATCTCATTCAATTGGGTTTATTCAAAATAAAAACGCGCGATTTGCTTCATAAGCAATTTTTCAACGTTATTTCATAAATAAATGAAGCTTCGGTTTAGTTAATCATTTATACATATATACATTCAATCGTGTATATATATACAATATATATATATGTACTACTTCTTCTATTTAGTACAATTTGTATGTTTGGCTTTATTATTGTAGTACCCAACTACCAATTTTCCTCAATTACTTTGTAATTAGATATAAAAATAAAAATTGTTGACAAAAAACTGTACTGAGTTTTTATTATTGAAATATTTAGGGCTAATGAAATTAAATATAGATTAAATATATCTCTATTGTAACAGGAGATACCTAGGTAACATAATCCCCGGTACAACCTAACCTGATGTATGTTATGCTTAATTAAGTAGTTTAAATCGGATGGGGAGATCATGTTACTTTTTTTGCATATTTTAGCTTTAAAAATAATTCTAATATTGGTCTACTTTTGCAGTCTGATTCGATCTAACTTATTATTCGGATAAATAGAAACCTAAATTATATATTTAATTGACTTTAGTTTGATGTTAATATAATCTAATATGTTTAATTAACTGTTTTCATTGATATTACCTTATAAAGCTGTTCGTATATTTAAAACGATATATAAAAGTAAACAAAGTACTTTTATCCTTTATCCGATATTTATCAGTTATAGTACATAACAGTTATATATGGTAAATATCAGAGATATTTATATATTTCAATTTTATATTTTAAAAACTTCTGAGTGTTTACGTATAAAAACATAAGTAATGCTAAACAATGTAATTTAGTGTTAATGTTTGCAGCTACAAAATTATTTAAAATTCTCATTCGGTTTAATTTATCACTCCATTAAATTTAAATGTAAATGTGTTATTTGTTAATCTTATTTTAATGTGTATTATGCTTGATTAGGTGGTTTTGATCGAATGGGAAATCCCCAGACGGAATGGTGTTGAAGTTTATGGAATATTTAGAAGAATAGGAAAGTTATATTGTGCATATTCCAAAGAAGTTGAAAATTTAATGCAAAACCAAATCCTGTCTTAAATTTAAATTAATTTTATTGATTTGGAGTATAGTTATGCTGTGCTTAGAATATATTTTTGTATTTAAAATATCCTTTAAAGAAGATTGTAATGCGTCAAATGGGTTGCATATTACCAAAACACAGTGCTAAGGTACTCGAGAATTATGTATTGAAAGCATATTTCGACGTTTTACTATTGCAAGCACTACTAGATTGTGATAAAGTGAAAAGAATTTTAATTGTCATTAACATTGGTTAGGTTAGATTGTACCGATGATCCAAAGGGAACCACTTAGTCCTACTGTGTTGCCGTCTAAGAGGCAACTGAGAAGTTTGAAAACCAGCTTGAACCTTTGACAGACCTGAAAATGGTATTTAATGAGAGGTCTTGCAGTTGACGAGAGCGCCGCGCACTCGTTGAAAAAAAAACAAAGCAGATGAGATTCACTTTTATCGGTCTCTCCATAACTGCGACAGAAAGGGAATAATTGAAAGGAAATTCAATATTTTTCCTAATATGACCAAAGACCTGTAAGTAAAGCAATGACCTACCACAAGACTGATATGTCTGCGGGGCTTCTTAAAGAGAGAATTGGGTTTCCTTTTAATGGGACGTGATTCACTTTTATCGGTCTCCCCATAACTGCGACAGACATAATTGAAAGTGAAATTCAATATTTTTCCTAATATGACCAAAAACCTGTAAGTAAAGCAATGACCTACCACAAGACTAATATGTCTGCGAGGCTTCTTAAAGAGAGAATTGGGTTTCTTTTCAATGGGACTAGTCCAAATTGCATATCGATCTCTATATATCACTGAGTCTGTTATTAAAAAATTCAGCATAAAAATAACTCAGTAACAGTTTGCATGCTGTCAGTAATATTCCCACATTGTTTAGTTGTTCCTAGTAATTACCTGAACCTCCTCATGTGGTTAGTTCGTCTGCTCTGCAAATGTCGAAAATATCTTTGTGACCGGGGACCCAGATTAGAACTGCGTTGTCATTTTCTTTAGAAATATGTAGCATTCAGAAACCGTCCTAGAAAAAATTTGGACTGAAGAAAAGGATTTTAACGTAACTGGACTGTATGATAGCGTGTATATATTCTTTATAAATATATCATCTAGTTTTAGACAAACTTTAAATACCCTAATAGCGGTCACCTCCGCCTGAAAAATACTACAATGATCAGAAAGAAAAAAATCTGCAGTAAGTAGATTTACTTAGTCCTTTCAAGAAAACTCCACTGCCTACACCACTACTTGTTTTAGACCCGGCGGTAAAAATCTTTACACACTCCCCTAAAGAAGATCGTCGTGACAATCATACGTCTCTATATGGAAACTCATCACTAAATTTGAGGAATGTAAGCAGTGTTACTTGAAGTAAAAGATTTAGAAAAGATTTAGAATAAAGCCGTGGTCTTAGTCTCTAGCTTTCCATTGTGAAGTAGTTTCCAATAGTTCCTTTATAAAATCAAGTGGCATCAAGTGAAGTATTGGTATAACGCAATGGATGATGTGATACATAGGGCACCACTGATGCAGAGTTCAGCTTTAAGCTGAAACCTGTTGAGTACCGTGCAGTAGGAAGACTGCACTGTCTACGACCGTCCATTATACGGTCGATATAATGATATCACAGAACAATATAGGTGTTATTACGGCCGCATAATGCATTGAATTGTGCGTGGTTGTAGTTGCCACGTTTCACCAATGAGTTTTTGACATAAAAGCAGCGCAGTGTTTGCTGTCCTAGGGCGCTAGAAGTGTTTTTACTTAGAACTTATTTTTCATTTTATTTATTTTAAAAATGTTTAATATTTCTTTGCTTATAAATTATTTATAAAATAAAATAAAAATTTTAAGAATTTATAAACAAAATGTTGGAATTTAATTCATTGATTTTAACACTATGCGTCCCTTAAGTATATTTTTTTTACTGGCATTATTTTTTTGTTGATGTTTTTATTTTTTTATTTTTACTGAAAAAATATATTTATTATTCTTTAGTATATATCTATTATTACAATTTGTTCAAATATACTAACAAGAACTATTATTTTAGAGTACTCAGCACTTAAAAACAAGAAACGGCTAGCAGAGCTGTTCTAGTAAAACTCGAGTATCTCATAGGTTAGAACTAATGTTAAGTTTTCATTCAGTTTTCATTCAGTTTTCTTTGGTTAACATATGGTATACGGTTAGAAAGAGTACTCTTATATTCTCTTAATTTGCCCTTTTTTTAAGACATTATTTAAATTTTCTCTTTTTGTGCAGAAATTTTATAACAACAACAATTGAAAATGTTCCATGCAGTCTGATAGGATTTTTATTGACCCGGTTGTTTGGTGATACACGAGGCACAGGGGAAAATTATTATTCTTACCGGTTACATTTGAAACTCACGAAAAATCGTTGCCAAATCACAGAACAGCTGTTGATGTGGATTTTTCCTACCAAAATATACTAGACTTTTAGGTTTGAATGGGTGTAGCTGTGCTCACACGTACGTACACCCAGCGAAACAAACATAGCGGATGAAATGGGTTGGTTGGTGCGGGTGTTGGATTGAATTAATGCAATCAGATGAGCACGTGATTTTTATGAACGTTTTCTTTATTATAAGAAAAAACGAGGAAGGGTTTGCCTTAAGTTTAGTTGGGTGCAAGGAAAAGTAGAATTAAAAATAAAGCTTTTATATAAATTCGTTTTTTTTTATTTAGAAAGAACAGGGAAAAATATTTGTAAAAGCGGAAAGTATATTTGGCCCATGTTAAACTAACATATTTGTGTTATTAGTATTGTTGTCATAGAAAGTGGAAAAGGAAAGAGAGATATTTGTTATATAGTTAATATTTTGATATACATACACCCTGCTTACGCTAGAATATTTAAACCTGTCGGAAAACGCACCTTACATATAAGCTAAATTTACTTTCACGACAACACCATGAAATTTACTATTTTTACCTCACTAAATGATTATGGGTCTCCGAAAATAATTTAAAGCAACTATGGCACTGTCATGGTCAACTGTGACACCTCCCTTTAAGTAACATTATAAGTTTTGGCAAAGGTTTTCAACCTTTCGAGTTTTTCTTTATACAGTGACTGATTGGGCCTATACACCTCACTAGATCCCTTTGGATCACCGGTATAGCCTAACCTGCCCTAACTAGGGTACCGCAGGCTCATATCAACAAAATGGGTTTATCTCACAAATTTTGTTTGAATGGCGTCTCTGTTTGTAAGAAAAGGAGACCTCTGTTCACATTCTCTCTCACTGTTTGAAGATTGTTGGGTTGACAATTCCTTTTTGCTTGTCCAAAATAGGAATGTCCTCAATAACTGATGTTAAGAAACTCATTTAAATGACGAAGTATTTTTTGAAAAGATCAATCATGGTGTTAGTGTTCCGTTTTCTGGAAGCCAGCACCTCGTTTATTTCCTATTAGTTATATTCAATCGTGAATAAATATTTTTATTAAGTTATAAGCTTGCGTTTTTCTCCGAAAATGAATGTTGCTTTATTCAAAATAATTCAAATAAAAATAAAGAGATATATCCTCTCCCGATAATGTGATCTGAATGTAATAACAACTACAATATTCTGATATTTGTTTATATTTTAGCAGTAATACTGACTTGAAATTTTTCTAAATGTAATTTTAGAAACGTTAGAGAATCTTGTCGATAGAGCTTCTTTTTAGAAAAGTTAGCTCTATAAACCTAACTATTCTATAGTTAGTTTGAGTTTCTGTGAAGTGATTAAACAAATGCTTTTGAAAACAGCGGCAATTGGAACTGTAGTATGTTTACATATATGCAGGATTGGCTATATCAGGTAGACCCACGACTTTATATCGACAGTCCACTTAGACCGTTCACTTAATATAAAATGTTGTTGTTGTTTTAGCACGGGGAGATCTATATAGCAGATAATATGAACGGAATTACAAATACGAATATATGGATATGGGTAAAATATGGTTAGGTGAACAGATTTTAGCATGAATGAAATTCTATAATTGAAACTAGCCTAAATTAAGGTGGAGAAATCCATTGATCTACGTCAATGAAATCTGATAGTTATTTCTGCACGAGCAAGGTGTCATTCTCTTCTAGAGATATCAGTTGGGTGGCTGTTCCGAACTTTGTTAAAATACAGTAAAGTAAATTGTTATAACTAAAACATGAATTAGTAGAGTAATGGAATATCTGCGAAAAATATGTAGTCAAGTTGGAAAGGATTACATCTGGAGCTTAGCGAACTGAGACCGAAGAGAGAGACCGGTTTTGTTAAACACAAAAACCGTTCTGGTAAGCTGTCAATTGTTGAATAACGCATTAAGGAAATTCAAGATTCAGTGATTAAAAATCATTGATTGACACTTAGAACTCTTGCTGATATTGTTAAAATTATATTTGCATTAGTCATGACTGAAACCTCGATTGATGTCAAAAAAATTAATTTTTCGACAAAATAGCATCAGAAACAGATAGAACACATAATAACAGAAGATAATACTTCGACCCATGTATACGATCCAAAAATAACTCACCGATTAAAGATCCCGACCAAAGTCATTGCTCACTAAGGCCATGTTAACATGTTATTTTAATTATCGTGCGGTACATTGTTATTTCCTTCTGACGGATCACTTTAACATGTAGCCATTTGCAAAAGAGGCCATAATTATGGGCAGACAGTTCTTGGTTTTTGCTCCACAATAGTATACCATCTTACACTGCATTGTTTTCTCGAGACAATTTTACTTGAATTCAATTCATATCATCTAAGTGCCATTGTATTCGTCGAACTTAGCACCGTGTGCCTTTTAGATATTCCATGAACTTAAGAAACCGCTTCAGAAACACCATTGTTTACAAAGACCTCACTGAAGATCGTCTTGGTAATTGGAAAAATTGTTTTCAGGATCGAAGTAACAGAAGCAGTAATAAAACTGTATTGTATACGGGTGAGGCATACATTGAAGGCGACGAAATAAATGGAAAGGAATAAATAAAGGTAATGTGGTTTACGTAACAGAAGCTTTATTAAATTTTTGTTCCTTTGTACAATCAAGTAATAAAATTAATTCATTTGAAAAATATTGACATATTCGTACTTCAAGCCAAATACTTAATTTGTATCGTATAAAGGTTAATTTTAAAATTCATCTACTGGGAAGATTTGAAGTCTGCACAAAAAATGGTTGTAGTTTATAATAGCAAATAAAAAATAAAAATAAGGAAGTTTATTATAACTTACGATCAAAAAAGAACGAGAATTAAAAAAAATCCAGAATTTTGATTTGTAATAATTAATTTATTATCGCCTTTAAAGTACGCTCTTCCTGCGGCAATACATGCATGTCAACGCTTGATCCAATTTTTCATACAAGTCTTATAGGCCCCCGAAGGTATGACCTTTAGTTCACGCAGCGAATTCTGTTTTATGATGTCAAATTCATGGACCCATGTCTCATCACCAGTTATGATGCGTTCGATGAATGCCGGGTCACTATGGACACCAAACAAAAACTAATCGTACGATATGCGTTAAACTTTGACAGAATGTGTATAATAGTGTTGCCAGCGTGAAAATAAAAAAAATTTACCGATTGGATTAGCGCGGGAATTCAAAAATTAAAATTCTCGTTCTTTTTTGATCACAAGGTATATCTGTCTTACCTTGTAAAAATTTAAAGTTTTACACAAAAATTCAGAAATTCCTAGTTATAAATGCCAATCCTCCGAAAAATATCAATTTGAATAAAGAAAAACAAAAATTTCAGCGAGAACAGATCGTTCAACGGGCGCTGTCAGCCCTAAAATTTTGGTTAAAATAAATTACTTTCAAACGATCATCAGTCACTTTGTGGAGGTCTTCTATGGTAGTATTTGTATTCTTCTTAATGTGGGAGTAGCGCTACAAGTACAAAATTGTTTAAATTGTTAAAGTATTTTTTTAATGAAGTATTTTACCTTTATCAATCCTTTAGATGGCGGCTCACCCATTTTTCTCAACTTCTGAGCAACATTCTTGTCAGGATTATAGCAGTAATCGACTGAAGTGCACTTCCCGAATGAAGATCGATGATCTGCCATAATGGTAACTGGGTAGCAAAAAATTTGAAATAATATATAAAAACCAAAGGATATATATATAATATATATAAAATTAAAATCAGAAATTTATTGAAATATAGAAAAATTCAAAGATTACTATTCTATTTTTATTTTCTATTATGTTTCATTGAATCTAAATAATTATGATTTCTTTATATCACACTTATTTTTATTATAGGTTCAGTACCATTAAAATGAAATGTGTGGCAGCACACTTGTTGAAAATTTTTAAATAAAATATATTTCACGCCACATAAAATTATATAAAGAGGTCTATATTGTGGCAACACTTTAAAATGTAGTGCCGTCATTTGCAGAACCAATGCTACCGGTGACACCATGGAACACATGTATTCCTAGTAGTACATCCTTTATACCAAATCCACATAAACTCTTAGGGCTGCCACATGAATAAGTGAACGCTGGCGGAAAATGGTGTATACTTTATTCACTATGTCTTAACTATCTATGGAATGTCATTTCATGTTTGTCGATCGCAAAAACAATATGGAACAATCACATCACGTGAAATGGTTTGGAAAGTGAAGTCTCGACTTAAACGACATCCACGTCGTTGTGATAATCAAATGTCCAAAGAACTAAAAAGTCGAAGGCATATTCCAAAATGAGCTTAAGGTATAGCCTTACAAGTTCCAAAAGACAGCAAAGCAATAAAAAGTTAGACTCGAAAGAGCAAAGGAGTTATTACTCTTGCACGAACGTGGCGAATTTTCAAATTCTCTAGTGAGCGAAATTTCTCCATTAAGCAGTTCGTAAACTCTCAAAATTGTAATGTTTACCTAACTAAACGCACTGCTGGAAATTTGAAGCTACGAATAGCCACACGAAAGAATTTTCCTTTTCCACCTCAAGTAATGGTATGGGCAGCTGTGACCGCTGATAGACGCTCTAAAAATCATTTTCTTCGAGCCTGGTGTCAAAGTCAATACAACATATTTTTGGGAAAATATTTTACAAGACGCTTTAAAGCCATGGGCGCGCAAATATTTCAGTCGTAGACTATGTACGTTCCAATAAGACTCGACACCGGTCTCGGTCTCATATGACTGAGACTGGTGTGAACCAAGAACAGTTAAAAAATTATGTTTCACACTTCATATCATCCACACAATGGCTTTCGAATTCATCAATTGCAAATTCGATGGTCTATTCTATCTGGGCCATTTTGGTGAGCAAGTTGAAGACTAAAAAATATGCCAGTATGGATGCGCTGAAGAAAGTCATTGAAAGATCACATTCGTGAAGTAGTAACTCATTTTTTAAACGTTTGAAGGCCATAGTCAAAGCAAAAAGTGGTTATATTGGGTTAGAATGAATGAATTCTGAAACTTTTATTATTTCCATAATTTTTTGTAATTCTCATTAATCCAAAATATTTCACACAAAAAGATATGGGCGGTTGAATAATTAACAATTTAATCGTCTAATCCTGTATATGTGCGTGCTTAAGCTACTATATGCTTGATTGTTCGAATAGTCCGTGATTCATTTGGGTTAAGGAATCGTTGCCAAACCGTAGTGAACCTCTTAGTATTCTTAGTCACTGTACAGAAGTTCAGCTGGGATGAGCAATCTATTAAGTTCGATATTGCTATCTTTGGAAACTATGTTTTGAGTCGATATTGTCAGAGTTAAGAAGTAATAAAAAAAAGTCATATCAAGAATTTATATGACTTTTTTGGAGATATTGTATCTGCTCACGACTAACTTGGAGTTATATTCTTATAGATATTGCATTCAATATTCAAATCAATAAAACTTTACTTCTTCTTGTTTCTCTCTCCTTTTCTTCTTTCTTTCATTCTTCTTTACTCTTCCTTCTTTTCTGCTTCTTCTTACCTACTTTTCGCTACTACAAGAATGAAGGCTTTTTTTTAGATGAAATGCATTGAAAGCCACAGTGAAAAACTTGAATCCACTAAAATCTTTCTTTTGGAATTGCAAAAAGCACAAATTTCAAACATTGGACTGCAAAAATTATATACTGAAACCCAGTGACGACGCGTGCCCTATTTGGAAGGGTGTGCGGCTCTTCTTTAATGTTTTTTTTACATGTACCACTTAAATTAAAATATATGAGATGTTTTATTAATAATAACCATATTATATTAGGCAACAATATATTCGCAATATTATATTAACAATTCATTAACAAAATAACATATTAAACAAATTAAATTAATAATTTATATATAAATTTAATATTATATCAATATGGAAGAAACAAAACATTTCACATAATTCTCGTAACATCAAACCAACTTTTTTCAAACAAAAGAGTTTGTACTTAGAAACATACATGTTTGTGCAGTGATCAAACAAAATCGAAACCACTTGCAATGTGCGCACAAGTACCCCGCACCATAAGAACAGAAATTCGTTGGTGCTGCTGTTAAAAGGGGAGAGACGAAATGTGATAGAAATGTATGGTGAGATGAGCTGCAAACTTCAGCCGCTCATACAATCACTTTGGCAAATCATCATGTTGGATTCGTATGTGTGCAGTTGATATTCGAGTAGAACAGAAAATTACTCTCATACAATTCCCACTATATAAATCTCTATTTCTGATATTACAAACGGGAGCACACGCACATTATTTTGTTCATATGCAACGTATGAATGTTAGGCCAACTTCTTTGCACACAAAGGGGAGAGACGAAATAAAATAGAAATGTTCTGTGATTTGAGCTGCAAATATATCAGCACACCTAACAAGTATAGCAGCTAGCAGAAGCAAATTGATTGAGTTTTCATAGACAATTATATTTAATTGTTTTTGCTAAAACTTTAAAAATATATATATGGAAATGTAATAATTAATAATAATTCTTGATGTGAAGATACCTAATAAATTTATATACCTATGTTATTTGACATTTTGCAAATTATGTTAGGGTGTTCACCGCACACCTCCGCACCTTAGAGCAATCGTCACTGCTGAAACCCCAGTTTACTAATTAAAGGAAAGGCGGACATTAAAATACAGAAGAATTAGCATTTAAATAACAAAAATATTTAAGCCTAAAATCCATGCAAATAAGAGGAGTAAAAGAGAGTATTTTCGCTGGATATTAATTTGTGACTAAGAGTAACCTCTGTGCAAGGAACTATAATAACCAAGATAACAGAAAGGTATTATAGAAGATTTGCGGACATTGTCGTGCAGATAAAAAACCAGGAATTTGAAAGACTTTTGATAATGCTTGTTTTTTGTTTATGGTGAATATTTTTTTAATATATATATAAATAAAGAGGTTTTTCCAAAAGTAGTAAGCTACAACAAAAAAATTATTTTTTTATATTATTTTAATTAATTGAATTTTTAGCTAACCATACAGCTGTTTCGAGTATCGCAAATATACATTATCAGTGGTCTTGGAAATAATTCTTGTATTTAATTATTCGTAAATAATTTTTGGAGACTGCAAGTACCAGAAATCACACTCGTGCCCTGCCAAATTTGAAGCTCAGAGTAAGTGTTCATTAACTCTGACCCAAAGTCGTACTTAAACTTTATGTTCGCACATTTTTCTGGAGTTTTTGTTAATTTGTTATATATATAAATATAAAATAGTTAAAATATGTATAAATATATATATTTATATATATTTATATATATATTTATATATATTTATATATATATTTATATATATTTATATATATATTTATATATATTACACCTCTTCATCATATATATGAACCCATCGTGAGAAAGCAGTTGGGTTGATTGTATTTACACTTTTGTCGGTCACTGTACTTATGAGCACACTCCCTGGTGTGAAAAAAGTATAACTCTTAAAACATACAATTTCAATGAAACGATAGAGGCGCTATATGCGGGAAAAAAAATTAATAAATGCTGTCACAAAAAAATATTGGAATTGCGTACAAAAAAAGAAAAACGACATGTAAAAGTGTAATTAAATGTAAAATAATACATGTTTAAATATGTTGTTATTAACAGTTGGTTTAGAAAAATAATAGCGCATAACTAAATGATTTTGAATTTTGTAGCCCCATCTCATGCGCAAATAACCAAACTAACCAAAAGTTTCTATACAAAAATACTAGAACCTAAGACACAAACCATTTGAATGTACATCAAAAAATTAACAAAGTTTCAAACCAAACATTTCACCCTAAATCCGCAAAGAACTGGGCATTGCAAAAATTGCTTAATTATTCGGAGTTTAAGAAATTTAATTTAAATGTAAATTAAAAATAAAATAAATTTTGCAATAATTTTCTTGTATTTTACAAAAATTTTTTAAAAAATTATTTTTATTTTTTTATTTATTTATAAGACATATAGAAACATAACATAACCATCGGTTAGTCTTTATTTTTATAACATATATAAATAAAAATCGTTTTATATTAAATAAAATCGTTTTATGTTAAAACTTAAACAAGATTTCGAAATTTCTTTGGCGTTTACTTTATAGCACAATTTTATAACTAATAATACTCGTACAGTCAGTGTCATCAGATAAACGATATAGAATCAAATGAGCTGCATTTACTCAACTATGTGATAATGTATGTATACTTTGCCATATAGGCTGTAATATCGAGAAGAGTCTAAATTCAATGTACCCGAAAGCATTGTACAGACCAGCCTTTATTTTAGTAAAAAAAAATGTGTGTGATTGTGCGTAAAATCATGAGTAACTGATATGGGATTAGATATTAAAGAACTGGAATATGTACAATCAGAAACCTACCTCACAAGCATCATAACAAATGTGAGCAGATCAGAGAAAAAACTTAAACAGATATAGAATTACGGACATATATTTCCCAGTACAAAACTTTTTACATCTAGGATGGTTTTTTGTTTCCTATACATATCTTAACGAAATAGCGACGCAGTTCAGCATTTCTCTAATCTGGGTTCCCGGTCATAGGTATATTTTCGGCAATTACAAGGCAGATGAACTAGACGGATGGGATGGCTCAGGTAATCACTCAAAACACCTAAATCGCTCACACTATGTAAATTGTTACTGAGATCTTTCTACGTTAAAGTTTTTAATAAAAGATTAGAAGACAGAAATCCAATACTTTGATTGAGATGTCCCGTAGACATATCAGTCTTGTGTTAGGTCATTGCTTTACTCAGAGGTAATTGCATATTAGAAAACCATGCAATAAGATTGAAACTCCCTTTTAATTATACCTGTCGCTGTTGTGGAGGGGACGATGAAAGTGTCTTTCATCTCCTTTGTTTTCACCCAGTGAATGCGAAGCGCCATTTTACTATTCTGGGGGCTTATTTTTTTAAGGATCTTGGTTAACTTGAAGACCTCATGTTAAATAGCATTTCAAGCTTTGCAAAGGTTTCGGGTGGTTTCTGAATTTACTCTTATTTGATAACACAATGGACTTATAGGCCTAAGTAGGTCAATAAAATATGAAAGTCATTATATTTCAAGGAAGTGAATATGAAAGAGTGTCTCTACACCCCATCCTTGCAAAATATATTATATTATATATTGTATATATTTTTCTAAATATAAGTATGGATTAGATTGAAGAATACTTATGTAAATCAAATATATTCCTGATTAGCATGACAATATGGTTCAGTTTTTGTCTGTCTGTCTATATTAATTTAAATTCTAATTACGCTCTCAGTTTTTAACTGACCAAGTGGGAGTTATCTTCGGGTTGAGTTTGTTAGTGCTTTTAGTCTGTACAGATCGTTGTATAAAAAGCAGAAGAGTACTTCTTCGTATATAATGAATTAATTTTGCCCAAATCTTTGTTGTTGTTTACAAAGCTATCTACTGACGTCTGAGAATATCAAATAACTGATTTATAACAAACTATTTCTATTTCTAATTTATACCTTTATAATTATATTTTTATATTAAAACTGATTTTTTTGAAATATAATTTTAATACTTGAATCGTCACACGTCACAGTGCTACAATTTTGATATTTTATATATATTATGTTATTTGCTGAACACAGAAGACCTTGTTGGGAGATTTTAACTCGGACTATGAGTGTCCTAATTCCAGCATGTACGCACATTTGTTTTAGGTCGGTCTTTACGCATATGTGAATAGAATCTGTTTATATATAAAATATATAATATATCGGGCATTTTCTTACCTGCATGAGAACTATCGAAACTATGTTGACATCATGAACCGTTTAACGCTAGATCTAAATTGTGGAAATTCACTTTTGAAAAAATAATTCTGTTCGCGAAGTTCATAGAGCACTTCGTCTAACAATTGTGTTTAGTAATGAAGTTAATTTTTGGTTAAAAGACTACGTCAATAAGGAAAATTGGAGTATATGAAGCGAATATAATCCTCACGCCATTATCGAATTATCATTACATCCATTAAACTTGACTCATTGATGCAGTTTATACGTTGGCGGCATTATCGATTCTTATCTCTTTCGAAATGAGAAAGGAGCTATGTTCACCGTAACGGTAAATTGCCAGTGGTGTCGAGCTATGCTGACCTAATTTTTGTCAGCAATTTCCAAAAATTAATCAGCTAAACATTGACGCCTTTTGACATTTCGTTCCAACAAGACGGGGCAGGGTCCAACTTGCCATACAGCGTAAACAATTTGGTAACAACTTTATTTTAAGAAGTAGTCCTGTTAACGGTTCTCGATTACTTTTCATGGGGCTATGTTAAGTCATTGGTTTATGCCGATAAACCCGCAACTCTTGAAGCATTGAAAGCCAATGTTCATGCCACCATTGATGTCATTATCGTCATATGGCCACATTTATTTCAAAAAATAGTCAGAAATTGGACTGATCGAATGAATCATGTAACTCGTAACAGAAGTGGATATATGCCAGAAATCATATTCAACAATATTTCTGTATTTTAATCATTTTAAGTTCCCATACAACTAAAAAAACACTCGATACATTATTGCCATTATAGTTAATGCCCACAGATTATAGATAGGGGCTTTATAAATTCTTGAATTGAATATATATAATTGAAGCACCGTTTAAACACAAATATTGTAGATTTTTATTTTATTTTAATGTATATTTTTTTTATTCGTTATAACGGAATATTACTTAATTCTTATTATGAAACACTTTTTGTAATTTTATAGTGCGTATATTATTATATATAATTTAAAAAATCTAAATTAAAAATATGTATAATTGTAAATAATGTAGGTGTTTTTAAAGTAATTTATAAACTAATATACATAGTATTATTAATATTTTCATATGCCTTGACTTAGGCATTTCCATACACGTAATCAATTAAATTCTCTGAACAAACATATTTTTGATATAAATTTTTTAGAAACGTGATATAGAATTACTAAATACTTTCTTAAATATTTTGTAAATAATTTTTAATTATTACAATTATAAAATATAAATTTATTTAAAAATGTGTTGCTTATTTATTTTTTGTGCAATTAAAACTTAAATATGTTATAATTAAATTGTTTGAAAATATTTTACTATTCAACGAGAACTATTGTGAAATAAGAAAAAATTAAAATTTTAAATTTATGAATTATTTCAATCACATTAAATAATAATCTACATTTAAATAAAATTAATTGTTTTAATTATGATTTTAATTTTAATGTTGTTATTGTTGTTGAACAAAGGAAAATTCATTAACGAAAAATCAAAAAAATAATAAAAATAATTTAGAAATAAAATAATTTAATAATAGAAAATGTACGATCAATTAACTTCGCTAGGTTTGTTGCTTTTAACTAAATTAAATTTAATATTTTACTTTACATTAATTATAATAGTTGCAGCATATATTGTATTACTTAAGGTCCTATAACAAAAAACTTTCGAATTACATTAATAATATTTTACTAAATAAGAAATCATTTCATAAAAATCCCATATCCAGCGCCGTATACAAAGCTCGTATATCACTGTGAGATGATATGCGCCAGAATGGGAAGTTCATATTTTTCGCAGCTGCCTCCTCTTCAGCTCCGTCGCCAACGACCACATAAGTGCTTTTGCGTCCAAATCGTGTCACAATTCGTTCATAACAAGTTTCCTGGCCTATTCAAAAACGAAAAAGAATTATTATAGTGAAATGTTTATATATCGAACTTTAATATAAAAATATTGAAATTAAACACAAATCCAAACTAAACAGAAGATCTATAAAAAGTTTTGTAGTCCTCTAATATATGTTCTAGAGCAGTGGTCTCCAAACGGTGGGTCTACAAATATAATTGACTAATAATTTTAAAAATATGTAAAAACGTTTTTAATGTGACAGAGTTTGTTAGGTAACGGCTACGGCACATACATCCTGGAATGGAATATATAGAATATGACTAACTCGAATATCCTTTTTACTACAAATAGATACCATAAATATGGTAATTAGGACAGAAACGGAGTTTTTAGCAAGTTATCTGAAAGAATGGCTTAAGCTAAATGTGTAATGATCTCAATAAGAAAGACTTGTTTGAAGTGACAGACTTAGTATCTGCATGGAAGGACTGAAAATTCGAAACACAGTCTTTATTTTTGTTTGTCTTGGCTTTACACTGAACAGTGAGTACTTGGCCAGAAGTTACTATCTTGTTACAAATTATATTCTCTTCCATAAAATACACTATTTTCATTGATAAGAAACAAGTGCTTTTATAAAGCAGTTATAAATGTAGATTTCTAGTGCTCTGCTCCACTGGGAGTTTAAATTTCTATCCGTTTATATTTTTTTTAATTCTTTAATCATAAATACTCTTCGAAAAATCTTAATAGTAACCTCAATAACTAATTATCAAAACGAACTTTATTGTTTCTTCTTGTATTTAGTAAAGTACAAGTTACATTACTTACCGATTTTGTGGGCGCTGTATATGTTATCAATCGAAAATATACTTCCCAAACCGAAGAGCAGGACTTTAGCTAAGGCGGGAGCTAGTTGTGTAGAAGTAACCAAAACGTTTACACAGTTTTCGCGTTGAGAAATCATGTTTAGACATTTTGTTGCAAGTGAAGCCCAATTGTCTGTAGCCATTTCAATATCAGCGCGTATTTGAAGCCAAGCATCGCGTTTCACCGGACCAAGTAAGCCACCTACACTGTTAAATAATAAATGAATAATGTTAATCAAACAAATCATTTTAAGTTCATCATCACATTCTATTTGTACTTACTTTCCCCTGTACGTATTATAGATTTCCTTAATTTTTCTGTAGCGGAAAGCCAACTTGCGCATCCAGTCTACACCACCACGCACACCGGTTGGTAAACATAAATTCGGAGGTGCACCAGGTGGAGCGCCCGTATGAAAACCGTCCGTTGCGAAATTATAATTACTTAAATCTTGGCCATTGTCATCGGATGATACATCATCAATATGCACTTGATCACATTCTTCAATTTCATTGAAGAAAAAGTGTGAATCAGCCATATTGAATACCATCTCTTCCATACGAAAAGCAATTGTCATAAGTCCGCTATGGTCTTTTGTGTATCGATTAGCAAACGAACCGGATAGTAATGTATGAAAAATAATAATTGTCTCATCTAGATCCCAAATAAATACACGTTCTGGAAGTTGTACAGTTTCATTATTTGGTGTTTCGGATGTAGCACTACGAGTTGGACTTGGCTGCTGATGACGTCGGCCTCGTGCACGGCCACTCTTACTTGTAGGTGTAGTTTTGGTATGCGATACTGATGTGACTGCAACAGCTGCGCTTAGTGCAGACACAGTATTTGGTGAGATCGGTAATGGGGTGTGTGGAGAATGTGTACTGTGCAAAATGGATGTGGTTGAATGTGTATCGGTTGGACTATCCGATAAGTTTGAAGGTGCAACATGGAAACCATGACCAGCACTGGAATTTGGTGAACTTACTGCATATGGAGAATAGTTTGCTGGATTATAGTAATTGCTATATTGATCGTTGTAGTAACCGCTGTAGTCTTGTTGAGCTGCTGCAGCTGCAGCACTGCCAAATTGTGCAAAATTATTATAACCGTAAGCAGATGGATACAGTTGTGTAGTATTATTATTGCCTGAAGCATACGAGGAGGTCAAGTAAGGTGCACTTGGTTCAATCTTAGTAGCTCCACGTGCTGCAGCATAGGGAGAGCCATATGTAGAGTAAAATGGTGGTGTATACTGTTGCATGCTATTATAATAATTATAATAATCATGTTTGGTGTCATATGCAGCTGCAGCAGCTGCGGCAGTGCTCGGATTTACTACAGCCATTGTTGCTGGTGAAGTGCCTGTAGTTGAACACAAACCGCTTAAGTTTCCTTCAATGGAAGCTGCCGACGAGCAGCCATACAGAGATGTTGCAGTATTGTTGCTGCCATTTGCCAAACCCGGTGGTGAAGTATCTAAATTCGAGTTACCAACACTTAAGCTGCCACCCAAAGTGGAACTGCTTTCAGCATTAACCGTCGATACACTAAGACTAGGACTTCGATTTTCAGATTTAACCGATGGTAACTGATTCTCTGACGAGGGTAACCAATGTGACATACCACCATTTATATCGGTGGGTTCATGACGCGAGACTCCAGCAGCAGACACTACTATAGGAGAAGTATTATTATGGGCACCGGCTGGCCCATCACTGGTTGGTGTAATAGAAGTCACACCGTGTTGATATGTTGAGAAACTACTGGTTACGGATGGTGTGAAAGAGCTTGCTGAATGTGCTAAGCCTGAGGATAGGTTGCAACTGGAATTTATATTTGTTGTGGCACTGTAATGATTGCTCAATGATGAAAGCGACGTAATTGTTGGTTGTAGTGCTTGACTTTGTGGTGGCAATGCTAAAGGGCTACACTGCCCTGCAGAAACGGTTTGCTGATGAAGTTGCGACTGATGGTTTTGTTGTTGCTGATGGGTAAGTGTTGTTTGTGGACAAACCCTATAATTAAAATTGAAATTAGTAATTAAATTAATTTCGAAGAAATACAATTAATGTGTAATTATTTTAATTTTATCTAATATATGATTGTATCATATGATTATATTATATGATAATTTTATTGATAATTTTATTAATTTTATTTTATAATTTTTTATTATTGTTCAAATAATGTTATAAAAATATTTTTCCCTGTAAATAAAGGAAATGCTAATACTAATAACAGAAAGTTTTTTACAAAATAGTCATGCCAATAGTTAAGCTATATATATTATTAATCTTAATTTTGTGTCCAGATCTTCAGTCACTAATTGAACTCAACAAATTAAGATTCCAATCTTCTTATTCTCAAAAACATGAATTCGTTTTGTGATCCCTGGTAATATTTCTGTCTTTTAGTTTACTTTTTTATAGTGTCACTGCTGTTAGTGTATCAAATCTAACGAATTGATTTTGGGTTATCGTATTCTGTCTATTATTGTATTTCTTATACTACATCTATAATGTTACTACTCTCCGTGTGTTGAATCTGACTACATGCTTTTTCTTTGTATTAACCGATCCATAGTTTTCAATTTATAGTTGTGAACGTTCATCTTCTTTAAGCTCAATTGCTTAGGATTCATATTACCAATCTTTTAGAATTTGATTTGTGGCATGTTTCTATCCTTCATAAATACAACAACCTAATATTATCTTGAATGTTGTGATTTCACATATCGTATAATTTTATTAATGTTAACTAGCTCTCTTCGAATTCAAAATTCAATAGTTTCCGGTATAATTCTTCATCTAAAAAGATTCCAAATATTTTTCTATAAGCCTTTATTTTTAAAAGCTGCTATATATTTACCAAACCTCCTAGCCATAGATTAATACAAACCAGAAAAATGTTTCGTATATGTGCAGTTTTGTACCTCTAGGCAACAACTTGGACTGATCCATTTTAGTGCGGAAAGAATAATTTTTTTTCCATACATTAATTTGAGTTTTAATAGCAGATATAAGTCTTCAGGCTCCTTTGCTGGTTGCCACCTTGTCGTGATAAAGGCGCTCAGTACGTGTCAACAACCTAAAAGCAAATTTCAAGGTAGTGTAGCTACCGGTAGTGTCACCCATGCTAATAAAGTCTAAGGTTGAGGGGGAGCACGAAAACTAAGCCTGACCTAACAAATAGAAAACCTTAATGCCATTTTGGGAACCGAACTGCTACTAGTTGGGCGTCAAGTTAGACGGTGCTTTTAACCATCAACCTATGAACTCATCATTCACTGATTGGCACTGCTTGCGGCCTACCCAGACATGAATTCAAACCAAAAAAGAATTCGTCTCCAAAGGGTGCATGGTCACCAGTTAATCCTCCTGCTTTACTAGCAGCAAACACATCAAATTCAAAGTTGTAAACTCAAGTCAAAATATTCGGTCGATGAACGAAACCGTTTGCAGTAAGTAAGTAAGTATAAGTCTTCAGGACTAAGGGATAAGAGAAACTCATAATTAAGTGAAGCTTAAAAAATGTTTGGTACGTTGTGATTGTGATCATTTAAGCATGTATTTAGAGAATATCTCTTCATTCAGTATACAGCCATAGTCAAAAGTATTTACACAACGAAAGTTTTTGTACATATTGCATAAAAACATGTTTTTATTGTTGTTGTTGGACGTCAGTTGCAAAAAATTTTTTTGTTGTCACTTAGTTTTATCTATGCAGAATCAAATAAAAAAAGAATTGGAAAGATAACTGTTCATTTGACAAAAATATAAGCAACTGCGCTGATGCTTATTAGTAGTCAAAAGTATTTACACACATTTTTTTTGCGTCAAAAGTATTTACACAAAACGTTAATTTCATTTTCTTCTTCTTAATTGATGAATTTTTAAAAAATTTTTTTATTTTTATTTAATTAATATAATTAATATTTGGTTACACCACCTTTGGCATCAATAATTGCCCGTAACCTAGCTGGAATTGATCGAATCCAGCTGCGAATCAATTTGGACCGAATATTCCCTATTTCAATTATGCTATCACTACATTTTGGATTTTTATCAGTAGTATTTTGCTGTTTTATGAAGTCTCAAGCATATTCAATGACATTAAGACCAGAGCTCTGTGCAGGCTATAAAAAAACAGTAGGATTTAACTCTTTTAAAATTGGATTAAGTCCACATCCTTGATGACATGGTGCATTGTCATGTTGTAGAACCCAGTTATTGATTGGAAAAGGTCTATTTTCTGACATTAAGACATGGTTATATAAAATACCAATATAACCGGACTGATTTAAGGTGCCATTTTTCGGTACCAAATCTCCAAATGCATTGTTTGATAGACATTCCAAAAACAAAACCGTGCTACCTTCAAATCTATTGAGTAGCTGCACTGCTTTATGCTTTTGGCGTTGTCGAAAATGCATGGAGTGGTTATCAAATGAATCCTAGAATTGAAATTCAGACTCATCTGTTCATAACATATTGTTTCGAAACTGTATAGGTTACTTAAAATACTTTAAAGCAAATGAGAGAATATTTAATAAGATCGTTAGAGTAATATTAACTATTTTGTGCACCACATAGGTATTGATATTAATATTTTTCCACCTGCGATGTAGTGTAGCATCACTAATAATCTTGCCACTCAACTTTTCCGATGACATTGCTATTTTGACAGGACTTATTGTAGGATTTTCTACGACTACTCCTAATAATCTTCTGCATTCCCTTTGATTCATGGGAGGTTTCTGCCCAGTTCTCTTCAAATTTTTTAAATTTTCGCATGTGTACTTATTTTTAACTAGATTTTACACCGTTTTATATAAAATTTTGCATAACTTTACTAAATTCGTCGCCGAAATACCACTCTTATATTAGGTAACAACCTCAGTTCGCATCTCAACTGATAATTCCTTGGTTTTTATCATTTTCCTGAATAATTTCTGAAATTTTGAAATCTCTAAACTTGTGTAGTTTGTGACAAAAGCCAACAACTGCACTTACTTAAAGGAAATCCTACAATAAATGCTAATTAATATTTTGTGTAAATACTTTTGACGCAAAAAAAATGTGTGTAAATACTTTTGACTACTAATAAGCATCAGCGCAGTTGCTTATATTTTTGTCAAATGAACAGTTATCTTTCCAATTCTTTTTTTATTTGATTCTGCATAGATAAAACTAAGTGACAACAAAAAAATTTTTTGCAACTGACGTCCAACAACAACAATAAAAACATGTTTTTATGCAATATGTACAAAAACTTTCGTTGTGTAAATACTTTTGACTATGGCTGTAGTTCAATGGTATGAGAGATCTGTGTAAATTTGAGATGCATTCTTTAGCTAAATTTTATTAGTGGCTTGTATGCAACCTTAACAACAAATTAAAATTGGTTCGCATTGGATTACAGATTGGTGTACATTTATTTATTTCTGTATCCATCTAATGCTATACGAATTACATCCATGATTTTTCAGCTAAGCGAATTATCGAGCGCTAATCGGCAGACGCGTCAGGATCCAGGCAAATAAAGTTGAGAAAACTATTAGTTACAGAATGTAAAATTTGATTTTTAATTATGATGGATTATATATAAAATTTATAAAAATTGTTAAAGTAAATGGAATTGATTGTACAAAATTATCTGCTTGATATTAATTGCATTATTGGCCTTTCTAGTTTTTATACTCAACTATTAATGTTTCTCAAATCTTCAGTTAAATTTAAGAATATATATATAAATAATACACACTTCAGTTGCTATTCGCTAAATATCAAGTGTTTTAACACTTTTGACAAACACTCACATATGTGAACCTTGCAACGAGAAAATTCATAATTCAGTAGAGATGAAAAGGAGAATATTGTAAATCAAAAAATCTAATTACTTAAGCACTTATGCCGTGTCAAGTGACAAATAAAACATTTTGGAAAATAGTTTCGGAAAAACTAACAAATTATATTTAAGGAGTTACCTAGAAATACACTTGGACCAATTTGTTGCAGCTATTTCAGGGCACAGGCGTTCGTTTGTACGTCACATGTTCACCAAATGTTCAAGTTACGCGTATTATAAACCAACATACATTAGATACTTTTTCTTACACTAGTCGGCATGTAAGTCAGTGTGAATGAAGGCTATCTTTTGCTTCTTCTTTAATCTACACTTAAACTACTTTTTTAGAAAAGATACGAAAAATGTTGAGGAAAATTGAAGTTTGATTGTAAACTAAATAGCAAAAAATCAATTGATTTAAAATTAAAATTAATATCAGTTTTAACTCCAATTTTTCTTCATTATCGATAATTGAATATATATTATTTTACCAGTTATTAAATAAATACAGACAAATAAAAATCCTTCCCTAAAATTTCCATTTGAATAATCTTAGCTATTAAATAGATGTCTTATTTGAATGGATAGAATATGTTGATGAAGTAGACTTAGACTTGCAAAGCACAGAGAAGACTGATTTCATTGGGAAGCCATAGTACTTACTTCCACACTTCACTTATCATAAACTGAAATTACATTGTATTCAAGATAATAATATATAATAAGATATACGTACATAAATAAACTGTCACCTTTGAAGATGAACGGAAGTCACTATTAAACAGTTGTGTTGAATAACTTTAAAATACACAAATAAATATACAAATAAATATATAAATGAGTAAATAAAATTAAATTTCGATTTAAACGAATTTATTTACATAAGCATTTAGCCCTCTGATTAACGACAGCAGTAATATTATTGTCACAATGACGGTCATCTTTACGAATTGCTTCTCATAATAATCTTACAGGCAAATAATCCCATAAAATATAATAAATCAATTGCAACAAATAAATAATATAAAACTGTATATTATAACTAAATAATATAAAATAAAAATTTTGACAAACTCATAATCAGTGATATATGCTTTTATACTTATTCTTACTTCAAGAAATGAAGGAATAGGTAAATATGCATATAAAAGTATATGTAGAGTATATC